GGAAGGGACCTCAGGAGATCATCTAGTCCAATCCCCCTGTCAAGACAGGTTCCCTACAACAGGTTGCACAGGAAAGTGTCCAGGTGGGTTTTGAACATCTCCAGAGATGGAGACTCCACAACCTCTCTGGGCAGCCTGTTCCAGTGCTCTGTCACCCTCACAGTAAAGAAGTTTTCCCTTAAGTTCGTCTGGAACTTTTGATGTTCCACGTTTTGCCCATTGACCCCTTGTCCTGTCACTGGGCACCACCAAAAAGAGCCCGGCCCCATCCATTTGACCTCCACACTTCAGGTATTTATAGATATTGATAAGATCCCCTCTCAGTCTTCTCTTCTTCAGGCTGAAGAGTCCCAGCTCTCTCAGCCTCTCCTCGTAAGGCAGATGCTCCAGGCCCCTCATCATCTTTGTGGCCTCCACTGGACTCTCTCCAGAAGATCCCTGTCTGTCTTGAACTGGGGAGCCCAAAACAGGACACAGTACTCCAGATGTGACCTCACCAGGGCAAAGTAGAGGGGGAGGAGAACCTCCCTTGTCCTGCTGGACACACTCTTTTTAATGCACCCTATACAAAATAATCATTTTGTAATAATAATAATAATAATTTTGTGTTATTTACCTAGAAAGAAAAAAACAAAACAAAACAAAACTAACACATTTAGAGGTTTTAACTTCCAAAATAGTCCTAATTTCTCTGTTCCATTTCTAAGATGAGTAGTTGTTTCTGTCCTTTATACCCTTTTGCTTTCTTTTCATATTTCTGTACCATTAAGGTCCCATCACCTTGTTAACTCTATTTTCTTCCTGAAAAAGAAATTGAAAATAGAAAGCAAGAGACTAGTTTTGGTTCTAGAAAACTTAAGTCTTTCATTGACGCTTATTAACAGTTGTAAATAATTCTGCTTTTGGTAAGCAGATGCTTAGGATCTTTCCAGAAACCTTATTATGCATTATACTGCCCTCCATCATTGGAAGTTAAGTCCAAGTCCCTGACATACATAATGACGGCACTCACTAATCTCAACGATACTTCTCAAGAAGTCAGGAAAAAGAAGGGAACTTTTAAGTTGCTGTGACTTTAAAACAAGGTTGAATTTTTTATCCAAAAAGTCTATTCTTAATTCTATTTATATGAAATTTCAGGAAGATTGATTATAGATAATTATTTTGGCTATTTGCTTTTAACCTTATAAGGAAGAAGTCAGAGAGGAATAAGATGTACTTTTTGAATTGTAAGGTTGGTTAGTCAGGAAAGGATAGAGATTTTTCCCTCTATTATCAATAGATGGTGGTTAACTCATATTTTATTGATGTGTGTGATAGTGGTTCTTTCACAGTGTGTTCATATATTATAGGTTAGAGTTTGGTTTAATGTAGCTTTCAGAACTTTATGTACCACCATTTCTTAGAACCAATATTTATTTTTATTTATTCAGTATTTTACCAAGAGGTAAAAATAGGATTTTTTATACTAAAAGACTTTATTAAAAATCAAGACTATTTTAAAATTCTGAACGTGTATGAAATAATTTCTTGTTAGTAAGATAAGACTTTAGAATGTGGATTTTATTAGCTGAATGTAGTGCCATAAAAATGGAACTTGATTTTGTAATGATCTTGATAAATGTAAGTAATATCAGGTAGTTTCCCCTTAGGTGAGGGCTTTATGCTACACTAATACATGTGTACAAGGCAAAACATTTTAAATATGATTCTTTTGTGTTACTTAACACTAATTTGCTTACCACTAGTGAAATGCCTTTTACAATCTTTTTGGTACCTTTTTTTCACTACAAAACAAAGCCTTGAATTTATGCCCCAGTCTTTTGACATTGCTACAGTTCTCTACAGCACTTGTCTTGTGGCTGCGTTAGAGGGCTCTGCAACTATTGTTGATATTTGCAGGAAGGAGTTCTGCTCCTGTCAGTGGATTTATCAGGAGTTACGGGTGGAGTGGAAATTACTTTGAAGTGATTATAACATTTGTTCTATCACATACTGATTTTACAGTAAAACTAGGCCACAAAACTGGAGGTGAGAGCACAATTTGTTTTACTGAGAACTGTTAAAAAAAGCATTATCAAATCTTTCAAGATGTTTCTGTCATCATGTACTGGTCTGTCTCAAAGAAATAAAGCCCCACTTGCTGTCTTGACAGCACATAATACGTTGACTGATGCAGTTGAGTTGGGGAGTTAAAAATACATTGAAAATAATGGGGCATAACATCCTAGGGTTAACATTTATTCATAGATGGTGCAATTAAATAAAACAGGCATTAACTTCAAGGTCAGTCAGTAAAGTAATAAAAGTGAATATTTTAATTGAATTGTAATTGCTTCCCATTGATACATGCAAGTTAAGTAAAATAGATGTCAGTGCTGCAAATTATAGTTCCCTTCCTAATTAATTTCTTAATTCTACATACAGTCATCCAAGCCCTGGACCTTGTTGTTGGTTTATCCACCCATCCAGCTTTCTTCACATCTAGTTTAATGGAGGAAAAATCTGGAGGATGTGGTTAAATGGAATGTATTAAGAATTTACAGTACATTGTTTTTCTTTTTAGTCTAAGTCATTTTAAGAATCTGAGTTAATCTAGTCCTTTGTTTAAAGAAAAACCTACTGGATAGAAGTATAGATTTATATTAACTGTTTTGTAAGTATGGTTATAGATACTTTATTATACTGATAGTAGCAGCAGACATACAGCCTTGTCTATACATGCATACCATTAGAGATTTGAGATGTGGATTACTGGTTCTGCAAACTACAGGTTACATTGGTTCTTGATGCCTTCAGCAGACGATCTCTGTTCACTCACAATACAAACCTATTGGAAACTGAAGGAATTAATATTTTTCAAAAGAAAGACAACTGTCCAAAAATAGAATTCTATTGAGAAACAGAAAGGGTACACTGCACTTCAGCAGATTTTCTTGTGGGTGTAGGATATTGCTAAACAGTTTACCTATAGTTTATACATAGGCAATTTATTTGTGTTTTGTATACTATTTGTATAATAGTTTATTCTAAATTATTGTTTTGTGTTCATTAGGAGGCAGAACAGTAGGTATATCCTTCTTAATATCAGAGAGAAGTTGTGGAAGAAATAATAAGTTAGTGTGTCTGGTTCTGACAGCTCTTTCAATATTTGTAATATATCTCTTGTTTTAAATTTAAAGGGAACCAATTTGTTTTTATTAAGGAGAGAGGTTGCTTTTCTTAGACAAGTAATTATGTTAATGAATAATGTTAATGTAAATGTGTGAAATGAATATGAAATACGGTACTTGTTATTATTTGTTTATTTTAAGAGAAAATGCGTGTTTAGCCCAATATCTATCCCATTAAAATCAAGGACATAATGCTAAGCTGGTATAAGGTGGAAAACATCACCAGAATCATTGGAACTGTTTAAATGAAATAAAGATATTTCAAAATGATTTCTACAAGCATCAATTGTCATTATCTTATATCTAGCATCACACATTTTTAGTCTGTTAATAAAGAGCAATAAACTAATACCAAAAAAGAATAGGGGGGGGGGAAAACCTCAGTCCTTTTTAATTATTAAGCAGTTTTTAAAGTGTTCCCCTAGATAGTAAGGGAATTTTTAATGTGCTTTAATAAAATATTTAGAAACTTTATTAATGTTTTGAGATCTTATTCTCTGTAACTTGTTTTAGTTTCACAGGAATTTTAAATATACCAGGATCATCATTGTAAAAATTAAAAGGCATACCAGCTATTTGAACTCAACAATGACTTTATATAATAGTATACCATACATTTATATAACAGCTTTCATCATCAATGATCTAAAGTGCTTTGCAAGGTACATACTTCAGAAATTGCTTCTAAATGGAGTCATTCTGGTGGCAGCTCTCTAATGATACCCATTATTGTATGAAGCACTAGAGTAGGAAAAAATAGACAAGTATTGTGTACAAAAAAACCCTTAGAACCTCACTAATTAAGAGTAGTAAAAAATGTGATCACTGAAAATTTTCCAGTGTTCCTTCACTTTCAGAAGTCATAAATATTTTTTGTTTGCTTACTTTGTATGTTAAGGCCTTTTGACCACTTAGTATCAAATCCAACTAGGGTATTTATTTGATTGAAGATGTCAGCTCTTGAGACAGTTGTTCCTGGATGATTTTTATCGCAGTACTGATTTCTGCCACTTACTTGATTTATTCCAGAGAAGTGACCATTTAACAGCCATGACTTGGCAAAATTTATAAAGTCAAAAAGCTGAAACAGAAACATAGAGGGGCAAGTTAGAGGAATAAATGAATGTTAATAGGGCTTACTTTTTTACCAAGAAGAATAAATAGAAATGTAGGTATCATACAGATTATTTTTTGATGGATCAAAACATACAAAATTTAAGACATTCTGTAAATCTGAATTTTCTTTATATCTCCATCCTTTTTAATTACCCTTTTTCTGTGCGTTGCACACACACAGAATGTGATTTAGAGAAAAAAAAAAAAAAAGTGGAAAACAGTCTGTAATTTGCAGCAACTATCAAAAAATTAACTTGTACTTTAGTTTAATAGGTATCTACAAAGGTAGCTTCCGACTCCAAGAGGTAATTTTTATGTAATCTTTTTATTACCATGGACCCACATGTTTACTTAACTGGTTAGTGAAATTGCTAATAAAGGAAAACGACAGCTTTTCCAGTTGAAGTACAATTAAAAAGTAATTTGCCTTATTTTTTCATAAACATGGATACCAGTTGCCCGGAGGGCATAAGAGAGAATTCTGATGTCTTTAGGACCTATAGAAATTATTTTTGATACAGTGGGACTAGTTTCTAAGGGAGACATGCTATATTTATTAAAAAAAACCCAACAAAAGTAAAACAAAAATTCCACCACCACCCACAACAAACCAAAAAAAAAAACAAAACCCCAAAATTTTTCTTGTTGTCCTAACAGTACTGTATAAAATACATTATTTATTTATTTGCTTGTTTATTTGTTTATTTTTAGGTTTAGATCCAGATAAGCATCTAGGAAAAACTCTGGGTCAAATGGAGCCTTATCTTTTGGAGGTGGGTATTACTTAAATGATGCTCATACAGGTAAACTTGCAATTAAAAAGTATCATAGGCAGAAATTTAGTAACATTAACTTAATAAAAAATTACTTAGTTACTTTCTGAAATTAGTTGCTAACCGAAGGCTTATTTCATACATGGAATATAAGTCTCTGATATGTGCTTTCAGAATGAAAAGCATTTTTTCTGGAGGTAGTTCACAAATGGTGCCAGTCTCTTTAAAACAAACAAGGCAAGAAACCTCAATATTAAGGGAAAACTAACTCATCTATCAATATGATAAAGCTAAATAATTGCATGCAAGTTAGAGACTTTCACGGCAAGGAATGGTAGCAAAATCGTAGGTGGTACAAAACTTCCCTACAGATATCCCAATCTGAAGGTTTCCTACTGTTTTTTACACAGTCAGACTGCATACAGCAGGGCCTTTCGAAAATGGAATAAGAGGTTTATTCCTGAGGATGTACTTAATTCTGTGGAAAGGGTTATGTAGTCTTCAAAGCAGGAAAATGCTTGTAGGCAGAGCTAATAGATTTATTTAAAGAAAAAGTATTTAACTAGGGAGAAGAACAACAACCAGATTTTGTACACGATTCTTCTGTCTGTGACTACAGTTCCTTGTCCTCGAGCCTGTTAGAAACCCACAATCATTTGCGTGTTCAGCTATTAAGAGAGTCTTGATATAACTTTTCTTAGTGTAAGCTGTCTAAATTTGCACAAAATTATCTCCTAAAAATAATTTTTATTGTTAATATGAGTAGTTACTGTTTAAGTAGTTTTTCTGGAAAAATTAAGGGCACGGAAGACTTGCAGAAGATGAAGGAACCAGAATTTGTTAGGAACTTTAAAAATCTTTTTTGCTGCTGAAAAATAGCGAAGTTAAACAGAAATTATGTCTTTAGTTTAACTTTATTTTGTTAGTCATTTACATGGCTGGAGAGAAGAGGGCAGATAGTTGGTACTTGGCGAAGCTGAAGAGTAAGAATGAAGGTCCATAACGTCCAAATAGTCTTACTTGAAGTGGTTGTTGTTGGCTTATTCTTAGCTTGAAGTTTGTTGCTTCTGCTGGAGAATCTGCCCAGAAACCTTTCCCCCCACCGCGCTATATAAACTAGTTGATATAAAAATCCCCTTAATTATCTCTTTTTGTAAGTCTTGCTTCATTTGTATCTTTAGATCATCTCAACTACAGCAAAGATTCAAGAATACCAGGGAATGGGAAGGAGAGATACTGTCTCCTGTTCCAGAAAAAGGGAAGGAAGGAAAGTAGGGAAATAAGTGTCTTCCTAAATATTTGTAGTACAGGTATAAAATCAGTGTCAGAGACATACAGTAGGAGCACACAAAAATAAATATACATTAACTTTATATAAAATATTTGTTCATATTGTGTCATTAGCAGATGTTTTATTTCATGGGATGATAATAAAGGTCAACTTAAAATGGTGAATATTTGCTAAATCTAGGAATATCAATAAGAACCAAGAATAGTTAGAAGAGGGAGTGGGTTGGTCCTTTCTGAAAAGTATAGATTGGATTTCTACAGTAAAAGGAAGAGCGAATGGGATCACCATGTCAAGCATCAGTGAACTTTCGGATTAGGTAGTACAGTCTAATTGAACACTGTGTCAACCTTGAAGTGGAAACTGTATTAACATGACTATTTAGCTCAGCTAATAAGCCACTGAGAGCCAGAGTCTGTAAGTTTCAGTTCACCACTTGTGAACATGGTTAGGCTGCTTGACTGCTAAGTTGGCATTGCACTGTGTGAACATGCTGGACCAGAATCTTTGTTGCACTCCACGTGCTCTCCAGACCTGCTCTGACACAGGTGCAAGAGAGTAACATTACTGTGGAAAAGCAGTTTTACTGATATGTGAAGTCATGTTCTGCATGTACAATAGAAATAGCTACTGACTGATGAATTCCCAGAAAAGTTGTTTGGAAGATCTTTGGAGTCACAAGTAAATACATAGTTTAAGAGCATGATTAACATTTAAGTTCTCCTCTCCCAGTTTGTTGCTGCAGATTACTGTTTCTGTTTGTCAGAGCTGTTTCTTTAGAGTCTTAGTAAGTGACAGCTAAGGAAGGATAAAACTTCGTAATCATGAAACAATGAACAATTTACTGTGGAACAGATTTAACAGAAGCATCAGCTTTACTGTAACATCAGTTCCATACTTGTCAGTCATATTTTGATGAATTAATATTTATGTAGGACTAGTTAAATAATCCAAAAGGAGGAAAGTACAGCACCTGCATTCACAAAAAAGCTTCTGTTACCAAAATTCATGTTGCAGCTTCAGTGGGGCTGCAGATGGGTAGGTGCTCACCTTGGCTGAATCAGTAGTCTTGACTTTCTTTAAAACTGTAGCAACAAGTATTGGAATTTTAGTTACATTAATAGAGTGTAATTAAAATAAGGCTTAAGAAGTATTCTTCTCCATTTGATTTCACCATCATTCATTTTAACAAGAAAATAATTAATAAATCCAAAAATACCTGGTATTTTGGGGAATTAATTGTATTCTTCCTCCTGTTTGGCTCAAGTGAAGTGATTCTTTTTACTTGGTTTCACTGAAATTCTTACTGTCAGTTTAATAGTTCTCAAAATGCTTTCAGGTTTTATCTTTTATTGATACAACAATAAGCAGAGCAACGACTACATAGCTTAAGGTGTAGAACTAGTAGGGCATTCTGACCCTACTTGGAACTTGTTGTCAGGCCATTGTAGGGGAGAGTGCACAACTGATTAGTTGTTCATGTAACTGTTTCTTGTGCATATGCATGCTATGAATGTCAGAGTCAGTACAAATAAATTGTTTTTACTGGATACTTGGTTGCCTTTAAGGCATAATAAAACCAAATCATTAACTATAAACTGAAGAGAAATGCTTCAGTTTATGATGTGAAGAATACTCTTTTGCAAACCAGTGAAGCCTTCAGGATCACAAGTTCTGGTAGACAGAATGTGAGAGCAAGGAATTCACTATTTTTAGCAAGGAGGAGAGATAAAATTTAATATTCTGACCATACCAAAACAAGCACCATAGTAAATTAATTTTTAACATTGCACATCCCCAAAACTACCACAGCTTCTCGATGTGGATCACTCTCGGATCTTTGATTTGTATTGTATTACCTACCCAGTAATTTTAAATTTCACAACAAATTCCTTGGATTTTGTTGTTCTTGTTGATTTTTTTGCTAATTTATGCTTTTTCCTATTCTTTTGTAATTCTCTTTTGGATTCCCTATTGACATCTAATGATATTTTACATAGTTGTTTGTTCAACTAGGTGCAGGGTTTTTCATTACAGCATTTTCCTTAGTGTAGTGTGCAAATTTGTGAGAATTTTTGCGGTTCTGTTTTAAAAATGAATTCCATTGTGTTCTACATGTTTTCAGTTTTGTTGTAAACCAGTTTATATCTTCATAAGTTCATTGCCCAGAAAAATGACAGCGTTGAATATAAGATGGTCTTTGATACTGAACCACAATATGTATGACATATTGAGTCATTTGGGATTGGTAGGGAATATCCTGCTTTACATTCTAGCATGTATTCACAAAGTTCAACTTCTCTTATACTACTAGATCAGGAATTAGGACTTTACTTACTTATTTTTATACTAGAAGTTTGCCTTGAGGTACGGACAATAAAATAAAAATCAACTTGTATTGCTATAATGTGTCTATTAGAATTTTTCTTTTGGACATACAAGAAATAAGCATGAAGTAATCATTTTCTTTTTACAAAAAAATCTCTTGTTGAGGCATTATAAGAGGCATGTCAATAATGGGAAAAAGAAAACAAACAAACAACAAAACTCACAACCCAGCCCTGTTTTCATAATCCACGGAATTATTTCACTTTGGAAAAATATATTGTTACCTAAATTTTCAGTCTTCTGATTTAGTTTATTTAGGTACAATAGAAATGATGGTAATTACTGCCATAAAGGTAAGGTGATTTTGCTGCTGTAGCAACAGAAAAATGGAGGTGTGTTGAATGAAAAAAACTTTGTTTTAATTTTTAAGTTTTTTTTCTGACTTTACATACAGAAGGTTGAACTTATGAGTACAATGATGATCTGCAACCCATAATTTTATCAGGAGTGAATTTTGCTGGCTCAGGACACTGGCATTGTGGCAAGGAAAGTTCTTGAAGTATTGCTTTTTTCCTAAATGATAGGTCTTTGATTAATTATTGATGAATGGTTGCTACATAATTACTAAATTATTAAATTGTTCTCATGTCCCACTGTTTCCTATATACCAGAAGCCCTAGCTTCTTACACTGAAGAATTTTTGGCAACTTGCCAAATCTCAGTTGCTGCTCACACTCATTAGAATTTATTAATAGAATGGTAAATGCATATTATGGTTATATTGGTATGTACTTCTTTTTCTGCTAATAGAAAATAAGAAAATGTTTAGTCTTTTTTATATGCTTGCCTTCATGAGAACCTCTTGATGTACAGAGTGTTTCTGTAATTATAGATAATTTAGTAAGTGTTACAATTTTTGTCTGGGAACAAAGTCTTCACTTGAAGAAGGAAGCACTTGAATTCACATCTTTTATCTTTGATGACTAAACCTAAACGAGAGCATCAGCTTTAATCCTTATGTTTCATTCCCAAGGTACGAAGAGACTGTTCTTCAGGTAGTACCTGGGCTGATTGTTTATACACCTGGTGTCTCATTGTGTATTTGAGTTAAGATGAATTTTTTGTAGTCTAGAAGATATTTTCATCATATTTCTTTTGAATTTTGGATTGGACTTGCATTTTTAATTAAATGTAATTGATAAATTTGCTGTTTTCTGGCTCATCTGAAGTAGAAAGCAGATTTAGCAATCATAAAATTTAGATCAGAGTCTAAGCTGTGATATTATTAATATAACATCCAACTTGCAAAACAAAATAATTGGTCTTCTAAATATGTTAATATTCTAAATGACAAAGTTTGGTGTCATTGATGACATTTCTAAATATTATTTTTTTAAAATGAACATTAAGGACCTGCTCTGTGAGTTGCTGTATATCCTTAGTTTCTGTTGACATTAGTGGGAAGAGAAAATCCTTTAGCACCTTGTATAACTGGTGTCAAGAATGATCTTGAAGCCAGTGACATTGAAAATGAGGATTTCCCACAACAAAGATAAGTAGTCTCACATCTTTTGAGTATTCGATGTTAATTGCCAATAATTGTTCTAGGCACTGATGATTACCAGCAGAGCTACCAATTTGAAAGTGACTTGCAAACAGCCACTCTTTGTATTCACTGTGGAAAGGTTACAGTTAGAAAGATCTTTTGTGGGTTTTTTCTTTCTTTTTTTTTTTAATAGATTTATTTATGGTTTTTTACAGTGGAAGCTATGATGAGACGAAGAATAGAAGGTTTTGACTAACTTTTTTATAGGTTCATTCTTGTTGCATCAACATTAATTATTCTTGATATATTTGTCCTATAGAAACCTTTTTGCCATTGTTGACAGATGGAGTTCTCTTTTATGTCAGGAGTGTAATTTTTTAATGAGCACATGATTAAAGGTTTTCTTCTGCTCCTTTTCTTTAAAAGAAAATGTGAAAGGAAAAATGAAAAATGTCTCTCATAGCAAGACATTGAAAAAAATATTTAATATATGTTCCAAAGAGATTTAAATTTTACACTACCAAACAAATCAACAGTCACATAGAGCATTACCAAGGTATTGTTTTCTCAGAGCATTTATGCTTTTCTCCAAAATAGAGACTGAGGAAGATTTAGGCCTTTTTTTTAACTAACTGAATTTTAAATTTAAAATGTGGTCTTTGATTTAATGAAAACATTTAAGTTCCATGTATTTCTTCTTTCACACCTAATTTTGAAATTTTTATTTTATTTTTATTTTTTGCTAAGATGATGGCTGAAGTTGTAAACACTCTTTGAGGTTTTAAAATAAAAACCTTTACAGTTCTTTTTCAAAGTAACACAAACTATACATTCAGCTTCAACAATAAAAATGTAGTATCATTTGAATATATCAGATAGACTTACTACACAAATATTTTGGTAAAAAAATTGAACCTGCAACGTGTAAATAACCCAGTGTCATGCTTGCCTAAAAACAAACAGCAGATTTGGAACTATTTTCTAGCCCCTAAACAGATTTCATCTAACTGTGTCTTACATGTTAAGGAGAAATGTGTTCCTGCTTTGGCTACACAAGCATGGTGGGTGGGCATCTGTTCCTCTAAGGTAAAGATAAGGACACAGATTTCTCCTGCAGAAAAAGGGAGAGTGTCCCCATGCTCAGGCATGGTACAGGTGCTTGATTACTCCCTATCAGTACAGGATATTAATACAGAATTACAGTGAACTATTCAGCAGTTGTGTGCTCCTTACTCCAGCAAAGAGACTTTGGTTCCTGCTCCACTGCTGCTCATTTATAAAGCAGGGAATAATTAAAATAGTCATGTCTCTTATTTTGACTGTATTTGTTTATATAGTTATGTGCTTTAGTGGGATATCCAGAACATCAGGAATGTTCTTAGAAGCATATGTTGATTTAGAAAGTATATTCAGGACAATTTATAAAGGAAACAGAATGTTTTTATGTCTTTAAATCTTGCTTTAGCATTTTGTTTTTCACTTGGAAAACTCTGTTGGTTCTATTTGTTATAATTTTTTGAAAGAATGAATATTTACCAAAATATAGAATGCAGTTGTTGAATCTGTTGCCAAAAATTGTGTTCATTGAAGTGTGAAGTGCTATATGAAGTGGTACTTCTTGTGTTGATTTGCAGTATGGCTTGGTATCATTGGCAAACTTGCTGAGGGTGCACTCAATCCCACTGTCCATGTTTCCAACAAAGACTTTGAAGAGCACCGGTCCCAACTGAGCAACCTGGTCTGATGGAAGGTGTCCCTGCTCGTGGCAGGGGGGTTGGAACTAGATGATCTTTAAGGTCACTTCCAACCCAAACTATTCTATGATTCTCACAGAAGTGAACTAAAGACAGACAAATACAGGAGTTTGAACTTTCACATCCTTTGATGAAGAAGGACTGGGAATTCATTAATTTATCTGAATGTTACAGTCCCAGTTCTTCTTAAAATATATGAGGATTTAGATTAGAATTTTAGATCATTGTAATAGTCATACAAAGAAATCACAAACCCTCTGTCTGGTATTTGGGTTTTTTTCAGCCTTTTAATGGGTAATTTTTAGAAAGCACACACTGAAATTTTCAGCAAAAGCTATGTAATAAACTGTTTTAATATAATACTTATGTATTTTAATTTCCCTTTTGTTTTAGCTTTCTGAGAAATATGGAGTCCATGTTTGTGGAGAAGGTGGAGAGTATGAAACATTCACTCTGGACTGCCCTCTATTTAAGAAGAAAATAGTTGTGTAAGGAACAGTTTCTTCCATTTCCTTGTATTAAAGCAGTGGGATCGTACTCACATATAGCTTGAGGCAACTTTTGTTGGCAGAGGTAAAACTTGTCCTCTAAGTTCACAAACACTCACTTTGTTTAACACTGGCAAAGTTCTCTGGAAACCTAAATCAATACCTGACAAGACGAGGCCTTCATAGAAGGCTATAAACTTTTTAGACATTTGCACTTTCGTTTACTTGCTGATTATGGCCTGCAGTAAAACTGGTACCTACACACTGACACTTTTATCCTTTCATGAAGTGCGAATTGCCTGTAATATTTATCTTTCATTACAGCTACATTTGATAAACTGCCACATCAGTAGCCTGTGGGTTCCATTAACTCTGTGTGTGTGTGTGTGTGTGTATGTTTTAAGTTTAGCAGCTTAGAATGGTAACGATAAACATTTTTCTTCAATTATTAGAGGATATTTTAAATACAAACTTTGCATGAATCTGTCTCATTTACACTGAGCATTTTATTCCTTTGACATAAATTGTTAAAATCTGTGTAGTGGGATATGGAGAATATTTGTGTCTTGATGCATGTTTCTTATTAGTCTGTTAAATAGCTAAGCCTGCTTGCTTTGAGTGAGATGTTTTGACTACTGTTTCTCTTCTTAGCCAAGTAAACAGATTAGTAATAATTTATGGGTGATGCTCAGTCATCTTGCGGAAGGTCAAGATTACAGAGCGTATAGACGTCATGATAAAGGCTTTCGTGATGAACGTCTGTTTGTTTCATTTCTCTGCAAGACTGGGATTTGTCCATGTAAGAAACAGAGCCATTGACTCTGTTTCATTGCATGGCATTTGCAAGAAGAGGAGCAATAGACAAACTGGAAAGAGGGATGTCAGCTACTCTGATAGGTGTCTGCTGAACTGTTGGTTGCCTGGAAGGTATGTCCTCTGGAGTGAACTGAAAAACTAGATGATTTGAATCTGGAGATACCTCCATGCAGGAAAGCTATGGAGTTCTTTTGTAAGAAGATTCAGAAAGTAAGAATGTAGAATCTTTAAACTGGATTTAAGTTCATGGGTGGAGTTATGAATGTATGGGTCAGGAAGTGAGAGACTTGCAGAAGATTCTCTGAGGGGAACCAGGTGCCAGGTAGAAGATGCAGGTTGTGAGTCCCCCTGCTGACTAGTAGGAGTTGGAGGGTTAAGCAGGAAGTTAGAAAAAATGTGTATATAATAAATGTGTATGATGCTTAGGTACATATTGCCAAAAATCAACTTTGGGACAAAGGACAAAAACTCCCCAATATGCTCTCAGATAGAATCAGTTCAGTCTCTTCTAGCAAAAAGGAAAACATTGTGAAATTGTTGCTAGAGCACGATTCATTTTTGTGTTTAAAGTCTGACATGATTTCTATTAAACTGACAAATTCTTACCAGTTCCAGTAGGTGTCAGAGGCAGAATTTTGTGAAACTTTGTCATTTAGAGTAATACTACCTCTTACCAGACAAATGTAGCCTGTTCAGCCCTTATATTGCAACACTTGCAACAAAAAGTATACTTCAGAAAGATAGCTGGATTTTAACTGAGAGGTTAAATGTGCTTGTATCAGTTTTTGCACTTACACGTATTTGGATGATTATTTACATTCTTTCTATTTATTTTTGAGGCTTCTTATGTTACAGATCTGAGAGTTGATTGGAACTGGATGCATAATTTCCTAATGGTCCTTTTCAAAGCTCTCTTTGCATAGATACGAGAGATTGGAGAAAACTACGTCTAATCTCATGAGAAGTTCTCGGTGTAGTGTGCAGAGAGGTTTGAGGTTTATTTTATTTTATTTTATTTTGCATAGAATTTGAGGAACACTTAGGAAAGTACATTGTGCCCTTGGTTTGGGATGAACCAAATACCAATTTAAGTAGGAATATCTTTCTGCCTAACAGTGGTTTAATGACCATTCAGGCAAATAGGAAAAGCTAAAACAGAGATGGTCTGGCCAAGTTGTCTTTATTTCTGTTGGTGACACTCCAAATAATAATAATAGTTAACAATAAATGCTAAAAAAATACTACAGGAAAAGACAAATATATAAATCAGTGGGTATTTAATCATAAATATGTGGCACAGCTGTTAAACAGTTACTCAACTAGTTCTAAATATACATTTCCATAATGGAAATTGAATAGCTACACTGGCATTGTGTGTCTCTGGCTTGATTAGCCCTGCTTAACTCTTACATTATTCATGTCATAAAAACATGCTTTTTGGGGAGCCATTCATGTGAAATCTTTACTTTATGAACTTATGAAGAAAAGTATTTTGTTGTTTCTTTGTCATTAAATAAGTTAGAAGTTTATTTATTTTGTACTTTTCGTTATTGCTTGTCATATACACTTCATCTAAACAGACTTAGTAGTCATGTTTTCAACTATTCTAGTATAATTTCCAAATGTTTAGATCACCATGGTTCTGGTATACATCCTGATACAATTTTTGAAGCTTAAATGAAGTTGTAAGAATTACAATTTAGAGAATAAAACCTGTGAGGATTTTCCTGAACTTCTCTAAGACGTCTTCCTAGAGAAAATTTCAGAGGAAGACATTGAAGATTACTTTTGCGCACAAAACGGGTGTGATGGATTAACCTTGGCTGGCTGCCATGTGCCCACCACGCTGCTCTCACTCCCTGCCTCTTCAGCAAGAAGGGAAGAAAATAAAATGAAAAAGCTTGTAGGTCAAGATAAGGACAAGATGATGAGTTACCAATTGCTATCATGGGCAAACCAGGCTTGACTTGGAGAAAATTAATCTAATTTATTGCCAATTAAAAAACAAAAACAAAACAAAACAAAAAAAAATCCAAAATAACCCAGAGTAGGATAGTGAGAAACAAAAACAAAACTAAAAACACCTGCTCTCCCCACCCGTTCTTCCGAGGCTGAGCTTCACTCCTTTGTTCCTGGCTCTTCTACGTCTTCCCCACTGAGAAGTGCAAAGGGGTTGCGGTCAGTTCATAACAGTGCGTTTCTGCTGCTCTTTCCTCTTCACACTTTTCCCCTGCTCCACCCTGGGTCTGTTCCATGGACTACAGTCCTTCTCGAACTGCTGCACCATGGATCTTTCCCATGGGGCAGCTTTTCAAGAACTGCTCCAGCACAGGTCCTTTCTGTGGCATACAGTTCTTCAGGAAGGGACTGCTCCAGCATGGGTTCCCCACAGGGTCACAGTTCCTGTCAGAAAACCCACTCCTGCATGGGCTTCTCTCCACTGGCCACAGTTCCTGCCAGGAGCCTGGTCCAACATGGGGTCCACCACAGGCTGCTCTTGATGTGATCCTCCTTGGGCTGCAGGGGCCAACCTGCTTCACCGTGGTCTTTTCCACAGACTGTGTGGAACCTCTGCTCTAGTGCTTGGAGCACCTCATCCCACTCCTTCTTCACTGACCTTGGTGTCTGCAAGGCTGTTTCTCTTACATTTTTCTTAGTACTCTCACAGCTGCTGCACAGCATTTTTACCCTTTTAAAAATATAATATCACAAGAGGCTCCACCAGTTGTTGCTGATGGGCTCAGCAGCACCTGGTCTCCTCTCACAGAGGCCACCACTGCAGCCCCCAGCCCAGGTACCGAAACCTTGCCACGTAAACCACATAAAACAGGAGAAAATCTAATACACCTGACATTAATAACACTACCTTCGGGTGGTGCTTTCACTGGTCAGTGTTTTTGTCATGTGAAACTTGTGACAAAATATGTTTCTAGAGTAAATCCTTTGAAAAAGAAGGAAATCTGCTAGTTCAGGAAAAGAAAAATACAGCCTTGATGTGTTACTTATTATGGAGAAGTGGGAGTCTCTTTAATGTAAGACTGTGATTAATTTTGCTTTTGAATATTAAATTGAATTCTTGCCATTCTTCTCAATCTTCACTGAAAAATATGCCTCACAAAGGAAGCATGGCAGATTGAATGAAATATTTGAAAATAAACAGGACTTAGCAGTGAAAGCAAGATCTTATAATCAAAATATTCCACCAAGAGTCAGATGGGTTTTATTTGGTTTTCCCAGGTAATCCAGTTGTCAGCTTTCTTATGTTCAGTATCTGAGAGGTACCAAGCATTTCCTGTCCTTCTTACACTGGTATTTAAAGTACAATTGATTGACACCTCTTTAAATCATAAAGATACATTTCTCATCTATGTGAATGTCATGAATGTCATCTAATATCTACTCTTATGATAAAGGCCCATTTGTATTTCTGGAACACAGAATAGTTTGATTAATTTTTTTTTCCCAGGTAAATTAGCACCTTTGAAACATTTGGGAAATATAATTTTGCATTTATATACCTTACCATTAGCTCTGTGTTTAGGTTTGTAATTCTAGATTTGGAGTTAAAAGCAAATCTATAAACATGAAAAGGTAATAATGTACTGAGAGAACTGACTGTACTCTCAGACTTGCTCTAACTTGTCATATTTGTCCTATGAAAATGATAGAGAGTTTTTAAATTATTAGGTATTTCCTAGATCTTCAAGGAGACTTGAGAGATCAGATGATTATGATTTCAAATAATAGATAATTAGGACAGTTTTTCAACTATTCTTCATTATCTTCCAAAGTCTTCTGAAAATGTATTCATGATCCTACTCAAAATTCAGACTTTCAGGGTGAAATGGCCTTTATATCAGGGTCTCTCAAATCTCTGTTTTTCATTTTAATGTCTGTGGTTTGATTTTGGGTTTGTTTTGGGGGGATTGGGATTTGGTTTTGGTTTTTTGGGTCTTTTTTCAACTATTTGCTAAGCTGGGCGTGACATGTAAGTTCAGGACTCCCTATTTTTTTAAATTGGACACAAACAAAACTGTTCTGCTTTCCACCTGTTCGTTACATTTACTATTGAACAAGTCTTTAAACATTTTCAGTTAGAACAATGATGTATGTTTGGAAAGGCTGACAAAAGTGAAGTAGTAAGGAAACAATATTTTATTTTGCTATGTATTGTAATACTATTTTCAGCACCTCATAATCTACCTATTGTGATCCATTAGCTGAGAAATATTGGCGTGTTAAACTAGGTGTCAATTATGGTCCCATCAATACCCATGTGTTAGCTCCATGTCATAGTAATGTAATTCATACCAAGAAAAAATACTTATGATCTCTTAATATTTGTGATACTTATTGAGTAACAAATTTAGGTACTCACAAATTCTAAAGTTATTGAACAGTTAGCATAGGTATCAATGCTTAGCATCTGTTCTGCTGTAGTAGTGAATTGGAACATGCAGGGATACAAGTAGAACTGTTTCTTTTACTTTGGAGTTAAATGTGTTTTTTAAAGTTACTAGGTGCTCTTTAAATTCAACAGACATAAATTTAATAACCCTAAATTTTTGGTTTTCCTTTCTGATACAAGCTTTTAGGTTAATTTAGTTTTAAGTAGTTAATGCATCACTGAAAAGTGCCAGACTTCCACATACTTGAACAATAAGCAAGAGATATTTATGGAGAATACCCTCAGGCACTGAGGATACCAGGGTACCTAATGGTGCTCTTGGTGTCTATTTTTTATTATTTCTGATTATGTATTCCCATTACTAAAGATTTCCAAAGTTATTTTCTACTTATTTATGTTAAAATTAAAAAACACCATGATAATTTGAAAGGAATAACTTTAATCTGAAGGGACTATCTTTAAGATATCTGAAAGGAATAAGTGATATTTTAATTGTGAAGGATCTCTATAATAACTCAATAATTAAGCTGAGGTCTTATTTATCAATTTACTTTAAAAGATTACTAAAAGGGAAGTAGAGCTTCTTATGCTAAAGATATTTAGCATTATTGTGCAATGTAGTGTTATTTTAGGATTTTTTAAATTTTAAATCTCAAAACACATTTTATAGAACAGATATTTCTGTTGATTTTACACTTTCATTAAGTCAGTGGAATCTGACCAAGACTTCAACTGTTTCCACTTTGCATGGTTTTTATGTGGTATTACTAGAAATCTACCTATCTCATCTCATTGAGTACTCTGAGGCTAAGGGCACTGTGGTTTCAAGAAAATTACCTGTGTGTCCTTAGCCTTACTTATAAAAATTTTCAGATTTTCTTGTACTGTGTCTGAGTTTCTTTTATGTTTTCTTTGAGTTTCTCACCTTCTGATGTTTGTTTCCTAGAGCTACCTTTTTCTTAAGTAGTAAAACCATACAGATGGATATAACAGATACTGCCTCTTGTGAATCAAAGTGTGACAGATTGTGTCTGTAAAAATGAAAACTAAAATTAACTAATTTGAATCAGCACACAGGAAGTTTATCATTGTTACCAACACATTTGGCATTAAAAAGTTGTCTAGTAGTCTCCAATATCAGATGCAAGATGGTTGAATCAGTCAGTTTCTCAGCGTGAAATATTGTATGTTGTTAATACCTCAAGAACTAATCCCTGGAGCATTAATCAAGAAGAATGGACTTCTAAAAAAATCTACTGTTGAGGAAATTAAAAGGTTGCTTTACATATTAGTCTCTAGAATGTAAAACATAATGTCATTTATGCTTTCATAGACTACAGCTATCAGTCTGTCAGTACTGATCTGGAAGTATAGCTTATTCCTTTTGAAAATTGAAAATTAGTGAAGATAATGAGGTATTCAACAGTACAATTTTAGATATCAAACTATTTTTTCTTAATTCATATAAAAACTAAATAAGAAATTAATACATTTGCAATGAGTTACCCTGGAGTCTGTGTTATATGGTGACTAAGTATTGTCTATATGTAAAATTATATACTAATATTTCATGCTAATAATTTTGTATTTCAGAGATTCAGCCAATGTGGTTGTGCATTCAGCTGATGCATTTGCACCTGTGGCTTACCTTCATTTTTTAAAATTACACCTGGAGAATAAGGCAAGTAGATAGGAAATGTCATCTTCCTTTAAAGCTATATGCGTACTTTTTATTTTTATGTTGCTTTGTCACAGTTTGGAGTGAAGCTACATATTCTCTAGTGGGTGTACTTTCAAATAACTATGTACATATTTAGTTGAATTTCAGGACTTTCTGTAAGGAAAAATTCAACACAAATGCTACCTTGTGTCAAATGAATGAATGGAGGTAGTATATTTGTGTAGCATTTTTCATCTCGAAACCTCAAGGTGCTCAGCCAACATGGTTCAGTCAAGCACATGTGTAACCTGTGTAGTACAGCTAGCCACACCGTGGAACACAGCTGTATTGGGAAACTGTATGAACAGTGTTGATTTGCTGGGAGGTGACATCTCTTTTTTGCTTTGTAAAGTGGATGATTTAAAAACTTGCTGACCCACAAGTTGCTTGAGTTTTATACATGCTGGGTTTTGTTTTATCTTTTCCATATGAAAGATACATCTAATGAATGACTTCAGATCATGTAGAGGAGATTATTGTGGTCAGAGGTCTTAAAGGAATCATTAGTAGTTCACTGGGATTCAATCTCTTAGGTTATGATTTCATGGAAACAGCAGAACAGGAATAAGAACTCTAGTCATTTAAATTTTGCAGACTGTTGTGTGAACAGAACTAAGAAGGTCAAAGCAGAAGTTATTTTTCTTAGTATTTGTCAGTGCTTTTCTATTTTTCATTATTTTGTGAGTAAAATGATTTTTTTTTTCCTCCTGAACATCTGTAAGTGGTAGCAGTTTGTTGAAAAGAGAGCCTTCCTGCTACATCTTTTTTGCAGTCATCTTTTCATAGGTCTTCCTACTTTCTACACTCTGAAGACCACTGAGCCTAGTTAGGTTGGAAGGGACCTTAAAGATCATCTTAATTCCAACTCCTCTGCCATAAGCAGGGACACCTTCCACTAGACCAGGTTGCTCAAAGCCTCATCCAGCCTGGCCTTAAACACTTCCAGGGAGGGGGCATCCACACCCTGAGATGAGAGTCTCACCACCCTCACAGAAAAAAAAAATCTTCCTGATATCTAAACCTACCCTCTTCCAGTTTGTAGCCATTACCCCTCATCCTATCACTACCTGCCCTTGTAAAAAATCCCTCTCCACCCTTCCTGTAGTACCCTTCAGGTACTGGAAGGCTGCTGTAAGGTCTAACCACAGCCTTCTCTTCTCCAAGCTGAACAGCCCCAACTCCCTCAGCCTGTCCTAATGAGGTTATCACAGGCCCACCTCTCAAGCCTGTCAAGGTCCCTCTGGATGGCATCTCATCCCTCCAGTGTGTTAAATGCACCACACAGGTTGGTGTCGTCAGCAAACTTGCTGAGGATGCACTTGATCCCACTGTCCATGTCTCTGACAAAGATGTTGAACAACGCTGGTCCCAGTACCAACCCCTGAGGGTCACCACTCATCACCAGTCTCCGCTTGGACGTAGAGCCATTGACCGCAACTCCTTTGAGTGTGACCATCCAGACAATCCCTTATCAACCAAGTGGTCCATCTGTCCAGCCCACTTCTCTCCAACTTAGACACTCCTCTAGGTGTGAGGTTTGACATGTGTTGTTGTTTTGCTATTTTACATTTAATGTTTCTCGAGCGACTGCTTTTCCTGAATTTCTTCCAATAGATCATGTCTTTTTCCCCCGCCTTTTTTAATTTTTATTGTTCCAAAAAGATAAAACATCTGTGTGTTTTTCTTCCATGATAGCCTTGGAAAGTAAATTGTATTTCATCCTGCAATTTCTAGTTTGGGATTTCTTTCAAAAATAAAACATTAAATATTTGTGAGGGAGGCTGTGAAAAGGATATCAACTAACTATGTGAAGCAAAACCAAATAGGCTTAATAAAGGAAAATTTGGGAGCAGGGCACAGCAGGGAAGAGTGATAATATATTAATATTTCTTTGGGGGCACTGACTTTATTGCTCATGGCAAACTTGATGCTAAAATGCACCATACATCACTACAATGTGACAGGCTAGGGAAAATGAAAAACACAAAGCTTTACATAAATCAGGCAAAAAATCATATTAAAATGCATAACATTTTATATAAGAATCAAGATTTTACTTTTAACTGTTCAGAAGCTCTTTTCCCCTTCTTATGTAGATGTTTTAGATTCGGTTAAAGCCTCACAGTTTTAAGTAGTGTTGTAGTAAAATTGTATTTCAAATTCATTGTAGACAGAGCTGTTGCCCTCTCAAAGGGATAAGGTTTACAGAGGCTTGCCCTGGATTTTGGTATGTAAACTGGTATCTTGTATAGTTAAAAGAAAAATAGTCTGTGTTCTGCAGTGGTTGTCTCATGAGGAAAAGCATTAGAATCTTTTGGCTAGAGGTTATTTTATGTCACGATAAAATAAGCTAGGTTTTCCAGAAATTATGAATTTAGAGAACCAGTCAGTCTTTCAGGGCATAACTTGTTACGAAGTTAGCACAGTTTAACTGTGTAATGAGAAATAGATGCCTTCAAGATTGATATGCCCGTAGTACTCTCCTTTTTCTCACTATTTGTTGCTTACAAGCCCTAAAAAAAAAAAAAAAAAATCAGTTAGTAATTCAACACTTGAAAGCCAATCCTACAATAACAAATCACTACAGGGAAAAACTGCTTTAGAAGGAGAACTAATTTTAGTGTCAGGCTTTCAAGGGATTACTGAAAATTGGGTAAAAAGTACTCCATTATGAAAAATGTATAAAAGTAGCCACTTACGTAAGCACTTTGTAGAAACCATTAATAGACTGCACAGTGATGTGTAATTCTAATAAGTATTACGACATCAATTTTGTTATCATTTCAACTAAGATATACATATTTTTAACTTTTATTGTATATTAATTTTATCTTAGTTATGTGCCACAGGTGTTAATTTTACATTATTTGAATTCACTTTTATAATCATTATGCAATTACAGCTAGTGTACTGTGATCTCTGCTGTCTTGCCTCCTCTATAATGCATTTTTTTCAGCTAAATCTCTTCATGTTTAACTACAAAGCCTACATAGAAATTTGTTTTAGATTGTTTCTGGCAGCAAAATGAGCCCTTGTGCCTGGGGGAAAATAACATTTTACTCACTGTTCTGGTTTAATACATTGCTGTGCAACTTCAAGATGCATTTTTGCATAATAATTGAAGCTTTTTTTTTTTTTAACACACCCTCTTTTCTTTCATTACCAGTGATACAGAAAAGGCTAAATAAATAAATGTAAGATTTTATTATTAAAACGTTTTTAAAAGTTTGGTAAACCTGGCTTAAGGTAATTTGTTTGTAGATATTTTATAAAAGCATTAAGAATAAATAATAATGGTAATAAAACACTAATGCTCAACATTCGAGAGTGCTTCATTTACTTCGTTGTGAAAAACAAGGTCACTACTGTGATGTACACAATACAGACACCGAGCTTCAGCGATACTTTGCCAATAAGGCTATCACTTTGTACATTTAAGATGTAGGATAATTTTTGTTGAGGAAGTGGCAATTTCTGAAGCATAGTCCAGAATCTTTGAATCAAGTGTGTCAGCCCCTGTATTCAATACAAATTTAATTTTGAATATTTTCAATTAGGAAAAACTACCACTGTGAAACACTATTTTTTTTTTACTTTAACAGCACAATGAACTTGCAAAACATTTTTATTTTCCCCATTTTATACTATTCTGTTGCTGTGTTAAGTTGTGTTGACTTTTGAATGATTAGAAACAGAAATTAAAGCTGTTGGAGCTTATGCTGATGTGAACATAATTCTGATAACAGTAGGGAGCATATTAGCTATCATTCATGCTTTAAGATTTGCTCTTTCCCACATTTAATAATGAATACTTTGTTCCCCAAGTTCCAGTGAGTAGGAGCACACATACATCAAACAATACAAGTTGTGAAACTGCAGTTAGGGATGGTCCAGAATTAGAGGCAGTCATGCAGTTTTCTTTCTACACTTGGCAGAAGGAAGGAGCCTGTTTGCCTGTAACAGATACAGGAATCATGCCTGCTGCTGCTGCTGCTGTGCTTTCCTGTAGCATACTGTTGCATTAGAGTTACTTAAATTGATATTGTGGAGCTTATTTGTTTTCCCGTTTGTGAAAGATCTTGCCCTATTTGGGTGGAGCACAAGTGCAAGCAGGTATGCCCCTGTTAAACGTCAGCAAATCTATTTCATAGGTCAATTTGGAGATGATTTTAAAAACACTTGTAAAAGTTAGAAAAGGATTTGGGATTTTCATGTCTTGTGTACGAAAGGAGCGTGATCCGGCAGTTTAGATTTGATTTTACTTCATAGCCTATTTCTGTCCAGTTCCTCCTGGCCTGAATTGGTTTAGTTAATCTCCATTTAGGACATTAGGTGTCAAATTAGATTTTGTGAGTGATATCAGGGGGAAAAGGAAGGAATTCCAAGTTGCAGAATATGTTTCGTTGGTGGCTTTGTGGGTGGGTGGCATTTTTTGAGCACTTTGTCATCATTGAATGCTACTTCTCCTAGGTAACCTTTAGTCTCCCTTCTGCATCATAAGAATATAGACCATAGTGATGTTTTCAGAACTTTGTAACAAATACTGCAAAATTCTTCTTTGTACACCGATTTATTTCAAACACTAAGATAAAGGATTTTCTTTCCTACTCCATTTGATTGCAGATTCAGTCAGCTTCTCTGAGAAAAATTTTTTTTTTTTTGTTCTCTTTTCATAATGAAGAGACTTTATTTGAAAGTCTTTCAGAGTAAAGGACTTTCCTATGTGTCTGTGTATTGAACTTGAAATACACCAAGGAGATATATGTGGTCTCTCTCCTTATATTTATTTCAAGGAGTTCTGTTATCAGGGTACACCACAAAGAATAAAGAGATCCTCATGACTTCTGAGCTCTCTGCCCCACTGTATCCTCAGTGCTGCTCAGTGGGAGAACTATCAGGTTTGGAATTGTGTTGTGTTAGGTTTTTATACCAGTTTCTGTAGTGGAGAATGTAAGCTTTTTAAGAAGGCAATCTGTTGTTTTCATAAAAGACCACTGCATGGAATTTCAGCTATATCAGTCAAAGCCCTAGCTCCAAGGCTTTTTCAGCAGAATTTGGATCTTGGAACACTCGTGCATTTGCTTAACTTCATTCTGAGTGCACTTGCATCACTGACATGAGTTATGTGAATATACTTAAGCATATGCATGCATGCAGGCTCTGATCCAAAATTAGGTTGGTATCACAATGTACAGTGAGTGTGGGAGAAACAGTGTAACAAATGGGAAAATATATTGAGTCTGTGAAGTAACATGGAAATGTTATGTGATAAAAAAGGTTCTGTAAGATTTAATTAAAATGTCATTATAGCAAGCCTGATTTTTTGTTTTTAAAGTGATGAGGGCATTATTTGGGAAAAGTTAATCTGTTTGTGTCAGTCTATAACTTTAAGTTTTAAATTCTTAGATTACTTTCTCCGTCGACAGGAATGGAAGACCAGCATTTGTATGAGATTTGAATATAGCTACTGAGCAGAGTCTGGCAGCTCTACTTGGGCTGGCATTGAGCCTGTTGTACTTCTGGTGCCAGGTTCCACACCTAATACTTCTGCTGTAGCCTGCACTTGTGCTGCTGCGGAAAGTGATTGATTACCTATGTTTTTGGAGTATTGTGGGAGTCAGCCTTGAATGAATCATTGTGATGCATCGTAGGCATTGAAATACAGTAGTCTGTAATTATTTTTTATGGTCTTTGGTGTATGTAAGAGGCATCGTAGAATTTTAGTGCTTCTTAGTAATTTCCAAAGATTTTGCATTTGACTAGCTGTTTTGTGTGTGTGTATGTAAACACAGATGTATAATTTTATTTATATCTGTGAAGAAATATTGATATAGACTTAACAATTTATAAAATATTGACATATTTAAGAAAAAAGGATGTGACTGTGGATGAGACAAAAATTTAATGTGACATCAATTTGGGATATTTGTAATATTAACAAATTACAAAGCTACAAGGGAGTTCTGTAAGTTAGACCAAACCAGTTGTGATACAGTCTGTGAGACTCACTACATCCCCATGATTTTTTTGTGAAGCACATTTTGCAGAAAACATGTTTAGAAACATAGTTGAAAACAATTTTCACAGATGGCATAAAAATGGTGTATGTGCTCTTTTCATGTTCACTTGCAGAACATACAAATTTAGTCCTCCAGGTTAGGGAATGGAGAGAAGTTACAGGTCTCTAATAGTACCTACAGAAGATAACTGCATCTCTAGATCTCTTAAAAGGTAATTATGTAAAACTTAACAAAAGCAAGAAACAAAGTGGCTGTCATACTGCCAAGCTGGAACTTTCTCCTTTCCAGTTAACATATCTTTTTTCCTGGTGATGGATTGTTATACTCTATTGAAGTTAAAATCCAGGAGATGTAAAAACAAAACCCAATGCAGCATTGTGAAGGTATCATTCATCTCACCATGTCTGCACATGCTTACTCAGGGGTTAGGATGAAGAGCTGGAAGCTCTGTAATGTCTGTGTGTTACATTACTACTCCTTTCCTGTGCTACAATGCCGACTGAGTGTCTCATGATGGGCGTTACAAATTAGCCAGTGAAAGCAACTAACTTAATATAACAACAATTTGCAAGAAGGAAATAGTAGCACATTTAGCACTTCAGGCCACTACACAGTCTGTATATTTCTATGAAATTATGTCTTGTGGATAAAAAAAAATAAAAATAAGGACTTTAAAAAAAAAAAGTAATTTTTTTGGTTCTTGTAGCGTAATCCAGCTTAATATCTATTTCAATTACAGATTTATGTTGCTGCTCCTTTATTTTCTAAGTCATACTTGAAGGGTTAGGGACTATCAGACAACCCTCTGGGTAATGGCAAAATATATCAACCAACAGCAGTAGTTGAAGGTGTAATTCAGTGAGTGGGAAATGGTATAGGTGCTGTTGGATGCTTGTCTATTGTAATGTTGGAACGCACGTCGTGTTTGTGCTAAATTGCAGTTTTCATCTTTGTGCTATTACATTACATTTAGTTGACTTCTTTTAACCTCTCATGTACAATTGATTCACTTAAAGTAGATTATTTCCTTGACTTTCATGCCTTTCTTGAAGGAATGAATAAAATGAGGTCCAATGAAAGAACATCAGCCCCTCTTAGAGCATAGCTTTAGTGTTTACAAAACTCCCCTTGAGCCCTTTTAGAGGCAGTGGAGATGAGTTTCCTCTCATAGGTAATGACCTTTTTGTAATTTAGCCTTCCCTGAGAATTTCCTAATGCACAGGTTTAACTTAACTGGACCCTTTTTCTCTCCAGTGAAGTCAAACATTGGTGTAAATGCTGAGTTCTCATTGCAGGCTTCTGATGCATACTGTAATTTTCTGCCTTTTTTTCCTCACTTTTTTTTTTCTTTGTTTGTTTGCTTAATATCAAGAGAAAACTTTTGAAGTTGCAATAAAAAGTGTTTTATTTTCCAAAGGAAAGAAAAATACATTTTTAAAAAATCTATATTCTAAATTAGTAATTTTTAGTATATCACATTTTGTTCGACAGCTTGATGAGATCTAATTGTTTATGAGGGCATGCAGAGGGTGACCTTATGAGTGCTTCACTGTATAATGTTAATATTCTTTTTCGCAGACGTTTTGCATGGAAATACCATAGATAGTACACTAATTTGTAAGCAAAAAGAATATTCAGCAGTTTCTAATCCATATTTAAGAATTGACAAATGCTTCATATTTTGTTAACTTTTTATCTTCCTTTATTTGGCTTTATCATCTAAATAGTTGAAATACTAATGCTTGTCTTCCATTAACTGTCTTAAGCTTAACTAGCAATGGAGCTATTGTATTTTTTTTAATTAAAAGCAAAAATTTGAATGATAAAATGTACTGATTTCATACTGCTTGGCTTGCTTATTTTATAATGTTTGTCTCAAGCAGGGGGAATCTTCAGGTACATTTATGGTCAATAGCTGTTCTTGTGAGGTGAACTGCAGCGATGACAGTATTTTCCCTTCATCAGAAGAGGATGAACCACAGAAAAACATTCCAGTCTTCTGGAAGTCTTTGAAACATAATTCTTTGGATTTTGGTGAGTCTTGAACAACTTTCATTAGAAAAGTAACATTGAGTATTTCATGACCCGGTGGAGTACGCTCTTAATTACTATAAGAACACTCCTGAAAAAGAATGTTTGTGACCATTAATAACCAGTCTAAAAAAAAAAAATATCCTACTACTCTGTGGTTTTCTGATAGGAATCAATAGATCTGTAGTAATAAAGCATTTCAAATTATTTTACAGAAGGAGCATAACCCATTTTTTTCTTTCTTTCTTTCAGAAAACACACCTTAATGTGTTCTGTTTGCCTGAATTAAATTACTGTAATCTAATAATTTATTTAAGTGGAGGGATTGAGTTTTATTGAAAGGTCTAACCACACCTGTACCCATACTCTACTGTTTTTAAATCGAAGATAGAAAGCAAACTCTAAAATGAAGTACAAGACACAACCATTCAACTTGCTTACATAGCCTATGAGTCTGTCCCCACCCAGGGAACCTCAGGGTGACATGCATAATCACGTTTAGCAGCCTAGGAAGTTACTCTCTCTTAGCTGAGCTGTAATAACTAATCATATGCCTGATATTAGCACTGCCTCAAACATAAGGTGATTAATGCAAGATAAACCTGAGTTCATGGACTGATACCTCATTGAAGTACCACAGCATCACTGTTACCCTACTCCCAAAGATTAGTAAACTTTTCCTGAAAACTAAGTTTCATAGTGTAACAGTGTTTGATATTGAATGGTATTTAGGCTCTTGAATGTGGGTAAGTGACTGGTGGGATGTTAAAAAATGCCTATCAGAACCAGGTTAAACTATGAACTTCCATAAAAATTTGGCATATAAATTTGAAGATCTATTCCTGTGTTGCTTAGCTACTTTCAAAAATTTTAACTTTTCAGTTTCCCATCTTTTGCCAAGTCTGTATCAAAACAGGTAGAGAAATAGTAAAAGGTCAGCAAAAATGTAAATGAAGATAGAAAGTACTGAAATTCTCAGCTAAATACTACTTGCAGGCATATTTTCTGAAGGCAGTGTTGGAAAAAGGTTTGTCAAGTAACGTTGGGAAGTTCTGTTACCAGCACCATTTCTTTTAAGGTTTTGTTTTCTTCGTCTGGAAATACGTTTTGAAGATGATGCTACAGTTACTGATTTTTTTTTTTTTTCTGTGTAAGTTCTTCTTACTTAAAACAATTTGAAATATATTCTAGATTAATATGAAATCTTTCATTATAATAATCATAGTGCTGTTCTTCATTTCAAATAGCTAAGACATTTGGAAGTTCAGGAAGATCCCTGAGTGGTTACCAGTGGTTTTCAGGTATCACTGCCTGCTTCCTTCCATCAACAGGCAAAAATGCTCAAGAGGCAGCAAGAGAAGCATTTTCTTCTCTCCAAGGTGCTTTATTCAGTTAATTCATTATCTGCTGTTATTTATATTGTTTTTAATATGGTATTAAGTAAGAATCTATATTGTCATTTGGTTTTATAAATTTAAAGGTTGTGGTTGTCGGTTTGCCTTCTCATTTTGCGTTTGATCGGAATCATTGTTATCAAGACTGCTGGCTTTACTATTGAACACATCATAATCTGACTGGCTTTTGAAGACCCTAGAAAGCCAGAATAGCGTTCATATCACTGTAACAACACTATTTCCACAGTACTTACTTGCTTTATAGCTTTCTTGCAATATATACTGTGTGTGTGAGTATGCGTGTGTGCTGTGGATGCTCTCTACTTGCTAAAGCACTTTTGTAGCTACCATAATTTTAAATTAAGTTTTCTAGAAAGTTTTGCATGTACTGGCATCTAGGATTAGGTCAATAGCAGTAAATCTCATTTATGTTCTTAATGTAAAGGAGAAATTGCTATCTTGGGAATAATGAAATCCAGGTTCCTTACTGTCCCCCTCTCCCAAGATACTGACATATGAAATAAAATGTTCACATTTTTGTTTTTTAATTTTTTTTCATTCTAATTTTAAGGAAAGCATGTTTATACAGGCTTCTTTTCATTCATAAAAATGGAAATAATTTTTAGTACCTATAGGTAGGTTCATATTCTTGTTCATGAATTTGTGTGAAGTATTGTCCTATAAAATCTTATTTTTGCATGTGCAGCTGAGTATTCATGATTTAATATAGGATGAAAAAAAAACCCTTTTTTTTTTTTTTTTTTTTTTCAAGCAAAGAGGTTATATTTTGTAGAAGGTCTTTAAGCTAGTTTGTGATTGCTTGGAAATCAGCAAGGTGGATGTGATCAAACTTGCAGTAAAAGACAATAGTATTTAGTGTAGATCTTCTGGGCATAATCTGTAAATTGGAGCAAAAAGTTTCTGTAATGTTTTGTTTTGTTCTCTTTATATTTGAATGGAAATCTACCAGTACAAACATTATCTATTTTTTTCCTTAGCATCTGTCAAAAAAGATTGTGTCACTGACTAGTACAGTAGCCTATTGCTTTCAGCAAATTACTTGCATTAGCTGTATTATAGTCCAGAAAAATAGTAATTTTCTGATCCTGGGTAGAAAATGTCAGTTCTCACATTTCCTTTCATTTTTCTCTTCTTAGAAGTGGGTGTGGAAGACTGAATGAATTATGGTTCTGTCATGGCAAAAGAAAAAATTTGTTTCTGAGAACTTTAATAATCTGCAAATATGCACAAGGCATTTTCTGAATTCATATTTACAATTTGTACAGCAATTCAGTCTTCAGTGCTGTGAGAATGGAATAAACACAGTTCTTTTAACCTTCTCTTTGCTGGGTTAACTGATTTAATCACCTCTAAAGAGGATAAGTGCTGCCAAAAGAATTCAGAAATGGAAATTTATTACTAGGTGTTATGAAACCTGTGGTTGTTCTGTAAAGTGGATGCAGTTCTCATGTGAAGCCAAGAACTGATTACTGTTTACATTTATTTTCTTAAACTCTTTTCTTAAACTTTTCTTTAGAAATGGTTGGAAGATGACAAAGATTACAAGGCTTTATGTATAAAACAGCTCTAATGCAGCTGTACCATGGCAAAGTTCCACAGGTTTGAAGGGAACAACACGGATTTTTATTACATGAAAATGTAAAACTACATCCTGTAGACAGTTTTGATGCTCTCTTTTGTGGCTCTAAGCCTAAGGATCCTGGATAACCCATTTAAAAAATTAAGCTGTACTTTGGCCAATATTATCTTTTGGGTCATTTCTTTTTAGGCAGTTCTGCCTAAGTAAGGATGAGCCTCACCTGATCATATTTTATAAATTATTTGGAACAGTGCATGGCTTGAAATTCAGCTGGCTTATACTCAATGCTCTCCAACAAAGAGGAATGCAGGCAAAAACACCAGGAGGCCTGCATGGATGGACAAGAAGCTCCTGAACAAACTTGGGCTCAAAAAGGAAGCTTACAGAGGGTGGAAGGAAGGACAGGTAGCCTGGGAGGAATACAGAGAAATTGCCCGAGTGGCCAGGGTTCAGGTTAGGAAAGCCAAGGCCCTGATAGAATTTGGCCAGAGATGTCAAGGGTAACAAAAAAAGCTTCTACAGGTATGTCGGGGAGAACTGGAAAACTAGGGAAAATGTGGGCCCTCTCTGGAAGGCAACGGGAGACCTGGCCACCCGGGACATTGAGAAGGCTGAGGTGCTCAATGACTTTTTTGCCTTAGTCTTCACCGGCAAGGGCTCGTGCCACACTGACCAAGTCCTAGGAAGCCAAGGAATGCTCTGAGAGAATGAAGAACTACCCACTGTAGGAGAAG